GTTATAAAGAGACACAAGTATGATATATTCTTCCTGACACACTACAATAGTATTGAACCCATAACCAATAGAAAGCTGGTCAGGGAACCGTAAGTAAGAGTATATTTTATAGCTCTTTATGTCCATGTGCTGGTTGGTTGACTTCACACATATCTTTGAATTTCTTCTCAGATATGTGCAGGTTGCATCACGATGTTTTCCTTCACCGGTTGGTTGACTATGGCCTAATCACCCTTAACTTAGGGTAGGCTACGAGCCCCTCGGTGGAGACGTATAGTGAGCTGATGATGATGATGATGTCCATGTACATTTTATTATCTTCTTTATACATCTAACTAGCGGTCGCCCGCAACTCCATCCGCACGTAATTAAAAATGACATTAGTAGCCTATGTGTTCTTCCAGACTATGTTCTATATGTATGCCAAATTTCATCAAGATCTGTTTACAAGTTCCAGAGATACATTCAAACAAACATCCATCCATCCAAAAAATCGCATTTACAATATGAATAAGATTAAGGCTCCACAATACCCCAAAAGTAATATAAAATAATTTCAAGGAATTAATTATATATTCTGTTTTATTTGGAAGTATTTTAATTAAGCCTTCTTATGTAAGAAGAAAACGTTTCAAAGTTTCCATAAATCGGTTCAAAGCCTTGTTTATAAATCTTTAGCCTTTCGAGAATTCGATACTGAGATAGGTTAAAACGTTTAATTGAATCCTAAGACGAATTCAATTACAGTATTAAAATATAGTATAATAAATATGATCCGTTGATTTTATTACAAAGATATCTGTTTCATTAAATTAAAATATTACGTTCAAACTATTATTCAAATATTAACTGTCACCCGCGACTCCGTCCGCGTACAATGAAAAGAAAAACTTAATTAGTTCATGGCAATTATTTGATTTTTTCTCACCTTTTAAATCTTCCCTAAACCTAAACATTTCAAGACCAAGATAAGATAAATCCGTTCTCGAGTTTTAGCGAGACTAACGAACAGCAATTAATTTATATATATATATATATATATAGATTCTGGAGAATGATTTAAGAACATGCAAAAATCTCATTATAACTTTATCCGTAATATTTTTAAAATTTAATCACAAAGATGAAACTCTGCTAATAAAATTATTTATGGGCAATTCGGAAGATAAAAGAGCACCTTGAAAGTTATATTAAATATTGCTTTAGAAATTAGAATAAGCGATTTTTTTAAATACTCACGCTTTGATATTTGCTATTCCATGTAACACAGAGATGGTTTGCGAGATATAAAACTTTTGCAACAACAAAGTCAAGTAGTAGTAATAGAAACTCGTTTAGTTTACGTTAATTCGTAGTGTTACATATTCATAAACCGCTCCCTTATATTGCCATAATTTACCTTTATTTTTTATAAAAGAAAGGCACAAACGATTAACGGGAGCACCGAATTGGTCATCTACGTCCGTGGACATGGCAACACCAGACTGTAGATGCGTTGCCAACCTTTGAGAAAAAGATGGTACTCACAACTCAAATATGCATAATATATTACAAAGATGTTATCAATGTTATAGTGACTTAACAGTCAGCATTTCACTTTCTATGTTTTTTTTTATATCATAAGGTGGCAAACGAGCGAGCGGCCACCTGAAATCGCTGAAAGAGCAAAGTGACCGTTGCCCACAGACATACGCAATTGCATATGCGTTGCCTACCTTTAATTGACGGAGGAGAGGATGCACAGAAAGAAAATATTTTCTCTTCCCATACATGCTCTCATCCGGAAAGTCCACTTCCACTTCCCATCCTTTCCTTATAACAATAAGGGTGGGAAGGGAGAGAGGACTAAATTAGGCCTCCGGGACGCACACTCATCAGACGAAACGCGGAATTGCTTCCACTTCACGCCTGTCTTCTGTGTGGTCGTGGTATTTCACCGGGCGAGCCGGGCCGATTCATGCGAAGATGTTAAAGCAGGCTCTACCACTGTTAAAAGAAATATATAAAGACAACTACACTATAAAGACAACATAAATCTACATGAATTTTATACGTAGGAATCTTACTAAGAAGACTCACATAAAACTCAGTTAGACTGAAGTTAATTAGGCAAGAAATGAATCGTTTCGTTTCAGTCTTGACACTAATTACTTTAAGTCTTACGCAAGAAATGAAGAAATGATTGCAGACATTTTTCTTTGTCATTGATATTATTAAATTACTATTTTTTTAATTTTAATTACTATTAGACTAGTAAAAACTTAAGGATAGATCATCACCTGCCCTTATCTACATAGAGTCGGCACAATATGTATTACTTCTCCATACATCTCTATCAGCCGTCATATCTGAATCTACCTTCTTCTTACGCATATCCCCTTTTACACAATCCATGTATACTTTCTTTAATCTTCCTCTACAACTATAAATTTAAGATAGATGTAATTTTTTATATGTTCTACTTTTTTCTTGTTAGTTAATATTAAAAATCATTTGAGGTTTTATTTACAACAGACAACGGTATATTTGTTACTTTGTGGGGCATACGCGCTGTCAGTGTGGTAACAGACAGGATGACACCATTTTATATTTTATTCCCGCGTTACACCTTCAATTTTCGCTTGAATTTTTGATCGTAAAAGCTTTTACCGACACCGTCCGTCAGATGGAACGTCCCAGTTAAAGCTCGCTGTCGTTAATATACTATCACTTTTATAAGCTCGCTGTAATGTTTAAAAAAGAAACTATCTAAAAATAAAATAATGAAAAACTCGGAATTCAACTTGTATAGAATAAGGAAAAAAGATTTTTCTATTATAAATTTTCTTTTTAGAATGTCTTATGCAAATTCTCTAGTGTCCTAAAACCATTGTGCCATGGTTTTATACAAGTTTATAAAATGGGTTACAAACACGTTAAGTCTTGTACTTATTTTTGTTTATGCCACAGATATTATGCATTTATGATGACGAATTGTTTTCATTCTTGTAATTCTATTATTTAAAGTTATGCGGTTTTATTTATGCCAAACCGAACCGCACACTCGTCAAAGCGCTCGCCTGTGGTTACATCATGTCTGTCGGCAAATGCTAAATCTGTTTAGGTTATCAAATTGTATCTATTATTTCATATTTGTTTCCTTTATTATATTCAATTTATAATTATTTAGTGGCGCACTCAAAAGTCGCTTAGTAAAAAGAAACCCTTAGTGTATGATTTACTGCACTTGTGTAGGTTTTTATTAAAAAGAACTGTTTTCCTAAGTGAGGAATTAACTTACTTTGAGTGTAGTACGTCCACTTAATCTGTATTACCATCATAGAGACTACGATGAAATTAAATTTAGTTTCCTAACATCAATTTCCTGCATCTCAAACCTACATTATAGCTGGCAAGTTGCAGTTTAATTATGTTTGTTGCTCCATCTATTCATTAAGTTTAGAATATTCCTCCGTGTAAAGCTGATGCATTATCCAAGTTAGTGTTCCAGGCATGCCTTTTACATGAGATACTGAAATTGGTTAGGTTAGGTTTTCACTGCCGAAACAAATACAAACACATGTCAACTTTTTCATCAATGAATTTCATCAGTGCAAGCCATCAGTGAAGCGTCGGTGGCTCAGTGGTCAAGCACTTGACTTGCAATCTGCAGGTCCTGGGTTCGAATCCCGCCATGTACCAATGTGTTTTCGATTTACGATTTACATATGTAAATTTATCCGACGTTCTTACGGTGAAGGAAAACATCGTGATGCAACTTGCACATATCTGAGAAGAAATTCAATATGTGTGAAGTCAACCAAACCGCACTTGGCCAGCGTGGTTGACTATGGCCTAATCACCCTTAACTTAGGGTAGGCTCCAAGCCCCTCGGTGGGGACGTATAGTGAGCTGATGATGATGATGATGATGAAGCCAACAGTGAGGCTTACAACGAAGCTCTTGGTCCTGGCTCATTTAAAATAATACATATCGAATAATGATTAACACGTTAGCTGCCATGTCATGGTAAATTAAAAAAAAAATCGTTTTTCGTAAAATCATTCTGACAACTAACGTGTTAAACGATCTTGATACTTGGTCATTTTTTTGTGACCATATTTTATACCGTTGTTTTACTTCGTAAACAAATAAAACACACAAATAATCTTAATACTTTATTTGCACTTACACATTTGTATTATTACCTGTCTAATATAAAAATAAGATTATAATTTCGTACTAATTAATTCAGACCCATATGAAAACTTATACAAAGTCAAATAATGAACGTCATAAAATGATAATTTTTATGAAGAAGGCATCTTCGGATATACTAAACAAACACTTATATACTTAACAAACTTTCTTAATAATAAAAAACTACGTAAACTACGACATTAAGTAAAATTTAATTTAGTCTTAAATCGCGATCATGTTTATATTTTTAAAATTAACACTTAAGTTTTAAAGAATTTCGCGTATTTCTAAACCCCCTTTAGATGTCGTACTTAAACTAATTACTTTAAACATTATTACTAATATTATTAACTCGGACCTTATTATTGAAAAAATACAAATTTGAAATAATATCTTAACTTTGAACCTTTTCTATTACACATTAAGTTACAAAATAAAGAAATAAAAAAAAATCTTGTAACTACACAAAAGTTACTGTACAATATCATTGTCAAAGATTGTCAAGATTTAATTTAGATATATTCCTTACATTACAATGAAAAAAAAACACAAAACATATATGAAGCCAATAAAAAAATAAACAAGTATCAAAACTATTAAGTTTTACAAAAAAACTTTATTACTAAATTATCCTTACTTAAATTATTCTAAACAAATATTTTAATTCTAAAATCAATCTGGCTGGGAATAATTTGTCCATTACAAACTCAGTGTTGCCAACAAAAACACACAGTCACGTCACGTCACGATACGTTACGTCATTGTGACGTCACACATTAATCCCGCTATCTTTGCTTCGGCCTGGCGCCGTCAAGTGATTCTCAAATATTGTTCATATCGTATAGAACTTGGGCAATCGTTCTCGATGCTTCCACCGTACTTAGCGCAATAGATGCAAGATGCGCTTCGTAAGGACGTAGTTGCCTGCATAAAACGTATCACAATTTAAAAACAAATCACAGACCAATTTTGAATGCCACTCATTTGTAATTTACCTAGATGAATTACAAACTCATTACTATCTTCTATTTACATACAACTAGTAAAGGAGTCTATGATACTTAGTCTTTAAATTGATTTCTTAACCTATAAAGTTCGTAATTTCAAAGAGATATTGATAAAAGCAATACTTTATGGACATGTAGAACATTTTAAATGCATTAATACATTAAATTAAATTAAGAAAAATTATAACATTTAAAAAATCTCACCGTCTTCCTGTATTAGAATAAATAACGATATTCCTCAGTATCAAGGCAGCTGTTAAACGTATGCTCTTAGTAACAGGTCCTTCGTTTTCATCCTGTACATATATATTTAAATAAATTATATATACATAAAGTAATAAATAACAACACATAAAACGTATATAAACATGCATAAGCACACGCTAAAACTAAATACATCTGAGCTGAGAAAAATTCTAAGAAAACAAAAAAATATTTCTGTTTGTAACTATATATTTTTTTATAATAGATAAGTGTTTATTCTACTATATTTAACTTGTATAATAATATGTGTTTATTGCATAATGTCATTGGATAAAAAAAAAAACAAAATCAAGCAAAAAAAATAGCTGTTAGATTAATTGATTTTTTAACCATTTTTTCTACTGCAAAATGTCTTCATAAAATACACAAATATTTTACAAACCAAAAAAACCCAAACAAAAGGCTACAAAAACACAAAAGCACATAAAATTGCGCACTCAACTTCAAATCAAGTGTAATTTTTTCAAACAATTATTGTAACTGTAATAATAATCAAAACTTCTCTTCTCTTCTTTTAGTTTTCAAGTCAAAATATAACAACAATCAGACTGATCAACACATACTTCGGTCTTTCTCTCAATATATACCTTACTGTGGGTTTCCAAGACCAAAATCCCCGTTTAAACCATACTGCTATTATGTTTTGTCAAAGATGAAAGACAAGGATGATCAATTCAATTTTATGCAGATATTTTGGTGTCAGAAATCCATCGTTAATAATTTAGATATGTTAGAAAAGGAGTTAGCCGAAGTATAGTCATCTCACTCACACTTTGGCTAAGTCCTATTTCTGACTCATATATAGCATTAAGTAGAAAATTTCACTCCGATTCTCTCTCTCTACCTTTCTCTCTCTCTCTCTATCTATTTCTCTCTGTCTCTCTCTCTCTATCTCTTTCTCTCTCTCTCTCTCTTTCTCTATCTCAACCTCTCTCTTCCTCTCTTTCTCTCTCTCAAATAGCAGAGAGTTGAGTGCGCATCGATTGTATTCGTGTATCTCACCAATTGCTCCGGCGTGCGACTGAGCTCGGCCCTGTGCTGCGCACAAACACATTGTTAGTGACGGCACAGTGCGGTTAGTGGCGCTTTGTCTACTACCCTCACACAATAACATCACACCACAATACTATGACGTATCAATCATGTCACATCTCAAAGAAACCGGGCTGCTAGATAAAATATTACAAAAATTCTCTCTCTCTCTCTTTAAATTGAATGGAAATGATGTATATAGCGACCGATATTTAGTTAGGATTCATGTTTTGTTATTGTGCACGAGTAGCTATTTATGGTGCAGTTTATATGAACGCAAACTTTAATGTATATATTTAATATTTGTAAAATTAATAATCATTGTTTATCATTTTCAAAAAGTTAACCATTATACCTCTATAGTTTAACCGTTAGTTTCTGAGACCAAAATATTGGTATAAAATATATCGTCATCTCTCACATCTTTGACAAAACAAAAATAAAAATATGTTTTAAACGGGAATCTTGGTCTTGGAAACCTACGATTAACCCTCTATTAATA